AGATAACTTGTGCTCATTTTGTAAGCAAAACATAAAAACATATTTACACTTGTTCTGGGAGTGTGTACATCTTCAAATATTATGGCAAAATGTAATAGCTTAGTTTGAGCTAAGGGAATTAAGGTCTATCGACTCGATAAATATTCATTTAGGGTTGTCTGGTAACTCCCCACGAATAAAAATGTTTAATACAATTATTTTTGCGTTGAAATATCGGAAATATAGATGCAGGGGAAAGTCCGTAATATTGTCTTTGGGGGAGTTTCAAAAAGAACTGTTAGAATTTAGGGAAGAAGAAAAGAATATTGCAGGGAGGGCAGGTAAATTGGCCTTACATTTACAGAAGTGGGAACGAGTAAAGTTTTCACGAACTTTTTTTAACTGGACTATTGTAGCCTCGTTTAAATGATTTTATTTTAAATGTTTTAAATAGATTGTTTCGGTTTTGTCTGTCGCTCCAATTTGGGGTATTCTGAGGGGGCTAGGAACAGTGTGTGGTGGAAGTGTGGTCGGATGGAGTGTGTGTCGCATGATGGGGAGAGGGGGGGGGGGTAGTAGTAGTAGTAGTGTGTTTGGTTGGATGGGGTTATTTGTTTTATGATACAACTGATTTCATTTTTGTTTTCATAAACTGTACAATGTATGTAATGTAAATGTTTTGAATTATATCAAGGAAAAAAAATGTACCTTATTTCTAAAAATTAATTTGTATTGTTTGGAATCGTAGTAGTGTGTAGTGTAGTAGTGTGCTTGGTTGGATGGGGTTATTTGTTTTATGATACAACTGATTTCATTTTTGTTTTCAATTGTACAATGTATGTAATGTAAATATTTTGAATTATGTCAAGGAAAAAAAGTGTACCTTATTTCTAAAAATTAATTTGTATTGTTTGGAATCGTAGTAGTGTGTAGTGTAGTAGTGTGTTTGGTTGGATGGGGTTATTTGTTTAATGATACAACTTATTTCATTTTTGTTTTCATCAATTGTACAATGTATGTAATGTAAATGTTTTGAATTATGTCAAGGAAAAAAAATGTACCTTATTTCTAAAAATTAATTTGTATTGTTTGGAGTCAATAAAAAAAAAAAAACTATTAAAAAAAAAAAAGTGTGTGTGTGTGTATTTCAAGCTTCCTACCTGATGGCAACCCGAATCTAAGTACATTTAGATCTGAATCATGTAAGAAAATTGACGTTGCAACGAAAACGGTGAGAAAATTTGTGGATATTTGTGAAGAAAGCTGTGTATCTAATCAGTATAAAATTTCGTCTGCACAATATGATATAATGTTTTTGTATTTTTCAGTTATAGGATCATCAGCTGTCATAATCTGCCTGTTTACATACAGTTAGGGATAGGTGTAGACAACATGACAACAAATACTGGAATTTAAAATGCTATGTATTTGTAATTCAACAAAAATAGTAAGCATTCAAATACATGTATTTGACGATGCACTGTTTATTCACTTAATTGAAATCAAAATTTGAGTCATATGAGGTCAAAGCAAAAACAATATTTGAAAAGGTTCGGATATTTATGAAAAAATAAGACATGACCATTTCGTAAATGTCAATAAAAAAACCTCGAAAGCCAACTTAATTATGTCAGTACATGTATCTTTAACCATCCAATTGGTTTCAATTCAGATCAAGAAAATATTTCGATAACAGTCATTAATGGCAGGACAGTTGCTATGACAACCCATTAAAGAAATATTGTTTGTTTGCTTTTATTTCTGCGTTCACAATAATACAATACATAATATAAAATGTGTTTACAAAGAAAATATACAAAACAATTCATAAGATAAAAAATATAGTCATGATACATAATGAATACAAAATAAGGAAGTGAGCTTAAACTTATTAACGTGTATACAGTAAATGTATCTTACCATACGATGGTTCAAGTAATAACATTGCAGCCCCGACATGTACTGAGTAGAAGCTAATGTTATTTTGTATTTATTTTGTATGTAGGTTAGGTTTTAAGGGTCTTTTGTGGCGGTCGGGCGAGAGCAGTGGAGTTACCGAGCCGAAACAATGGGATTATTGGACCGGATCTATTGTTCTGGCTTGTCGGGGTTTTGGAGTGTGGTCGGTGGGTGCTGTCCAATTGGTTTCAATTCAGATCAAGAAAATATTTCGATAACAGTCATTAATGGCAGGACAGTTGCTATGACAACCCATTAAAGAAATATTAACGTGTATACAGTAAATGTAACTTACCATACGATGGTTCAAGTAATAACACTGCAGTCCCGACATGTACTGAGTAGCAGCTAATGTTATTTTGTATAAATTAGTTTGTACATGTAATAATCCGAATCGTCTGAAAGATGTTGGTTAGGTTTCAATGGTCTTTTGTGGCGGTCGGCATTCATTAATTCATTAGGGACTTTTAGATTGAGTGGACGAGAACACGACGAACGCCGACTGATCATGCGTGTCAACGTACTTAACTGCCCATGTTGACTACAATTAGAAATCTTTTAGATTGCACTCGAAGATATACATGCATGCAGGAAGTAACACTTTGAACATCACGGACAAAGAAAGAGGACAAAATATACAGTTCCTCATTCTACCCTCAACAAAAGAACATCCCTTCACTGCTATTATGTAAAAATGTAACACCTGTTCTACACATTTTTACATAATAGCTAGCAGGGAAGGGATGTTCCTTTGTCCACCCGAGGAACTGTATATTTTATGCGCACGCGGCATACTAGTACATTGAGCATGTAAAGGCGCTATATAAATACCAATATGTATGTATGTACTCGATTTAGGAAAATCAAGGTTGACGCATTCTCGATCGCCGACTGAGACGACGTAACGCATGCGCAGTGCCTTAAAATGACGTCCCACGTTGCAGTCAAAGGTTTCGATGTGCAAATCTAAAAGTCCCTAATAGCTAATTGCGCTCGACGGGCGAGAGCAGTTGAGTTACCGAGCCGGAACGATGGGATTATTGGACCGGATCTATTGTTCTGGCTTTTGGGGTTTTTTGGAGTGTGGTCGGTGGGTGCTGGCTGACAATAGGGACTTTTGATTTGCCGAACGACAACGTGGATTGCTACGATCGACGTCCTTTTAATGCACTGCCTTGAATAGACGTTTCACGTATCAGTCCACGCAAATCTAAAAGTTCTATTATTCGTATTTGTTCATCGTCTAGCCATGATGCTCTTTGAATCAAAAACAGCTTTTTTTGTGTTAGGCTTCCTGAAAGAAATTTCAATTATTGTTAAGAAATGTTCGGTTGCACTCTGTAGATTATGATGATGTGTTTGATCATGTTTCAATAGCTATACAGGGCGTATCATAATAAAGGATATTGAAGTTTAATGACGATTTATATGAAAGCTACTGATTTCATAATCAAGCATTTTATGTCTGTTGTAAAGGACAGGATGTCCTCTTGTTAAAGTGCGGATTCATAGAAAATCACAAATATGGCAAATAGCGTATTACTAGAAACTGGTAAGCTAACAGATGGCCATCGTGCAAGTTTTAGTTCAACTACATATCGGGTGATTTATAAAAATACAAATAAAACAACCTCTATAGCATTTGGGATATGCGAGAGATTCGCCGGAAAAATAACGATGTTTTAATGCCGTCACAATATGAACCAACCCTGCCCAAGCAGACGACACCCCATAAAGAATGAACATAATTGCAATGCTTTTATTTCTCAAATTATAATGAGTTTAGTGTATATAAATGTGATGGAATTTTACATCATTCAAAAAGGGATATGACCCCCATTCTGAAAACTAAATTCTTTTGTTTGTAAATACACAGGATAGGGGGTAATGAACAATCAAAGAAACCACACTTTCAAATTAAAAAACCTCCGGAATGATAGCATGGACGTCATTTGTTCCCTCTTGAAACGCCGAACATGCCGCGGTGTATGCAGCTGAAAATACAATGGCGTCCTATTTTGTTTACAAGCGACAGATTCCTTCTCCTTCTTTTTTCCTTGCATTTTTCATCCAAATAATACCATGCACGGGGTTTAGAGTGAGGCAATAGATTAAACATTTCGCCTGAGGGTATTGAAGTAAGAGAAATAACTGAAGAAAAGATGACAAAACAGGCAGTGAAATAATGTGAGATGTCATGGGACATCGTCTGCTTGTGCACATCATGTTCAACATGTGACGTCATATCTCAGCAGCGACCGGAGAGCTTTTCAGGTGCTATGTCGGGGCTGTATCTAAGCGTTTTGTAATTGTTAATAATCATTACTTTGAATGTTGTCTAAGCATTGGCTTTTGATAACCTTGGCCAATCAAAGTGTCACCTTTGCAATAATGACATTAAAGTTAGTTTTTTAAATCAATGTATCGATCTTCTCTTTAATGACACCCCGATCATACTACTACTGTCACAGTTGACTGAATAACAAAGCATTGCTGTCCACCATGTGAAAGGTGCACTGTGCCAAGTTTGATAACATTTCCTTCTTAGACACATAATCCACTCATTGTTCAGCATTTCAATATGTCTGGGCTGACACAAGCACTAATCTTTAGAATTTATCTGTGAATGCTAACTTGTCACAGTGCACCTTTCACATGGTGGACAATTGCTGTCCACCATGTGAAAGGTGCACTGTGACAAGTTAGCATTCACAGATAAATTCTAAAGATTATTGTGTCAGCCCAGACATATTGAAATGCTGAACAATGAGTGGATTATGTGTCTAAGAAGGAAATGTTATCAAACTTGGCACAGTGCACCTTTCACATGGTGGACAGCAATGCTTTGTTATTCAGTCAACTGTGACAGTAGTAGTATGATCGGGGTGTCATTAACAAGAGGACATTCTGTCCTTTACAACAGACATAATATGCTTGATTATGAAATCAGTAGTTTTCATATAAATCGTCATTAAACTTCAATATCCTTTATTATGATACGCCCTGTAGATCAAACACAATGATACTGTAACAGCAGGCACATATGACACTCGACGAAGTCATTTAGAGTTGTAGGTGGTATTTATTTTGAGGATGGATCAACCCTTAATGAGACAAAAAGAAACAGGCAAACAGATTAGTTTTTGTTTCTTTCACATATTGAACATCAGCAAAACTATATGATCATTCATAGAAATAGATACATCAATAATAACTATTATGATCATTCATAGGAATAGATACATCAATAATAACTATTGCCCTACTTGGCATTTTCCCCACACCATAGAAATACTAAACATTTTGGATACTTTTCCATATATGGTTTATAGTTAACATTGTAACATCCAAGAGCAATAAGCAAGATATAACAATAAAATGCCCAAATATGCATAAGTAATCATGAATACAGAAATATAAATTGTCTTTTTGTATAGTTCTCTTTACTATTACAATGACTCACCCCTCTTGAGCTCTCGAGGAGAGACTCCTAACGAGACAACGAGACTAGAATTAGACCAACTACATGTAGATAGTGCACCATCTCCAACTAACTGCCATCTCCAACCAAGTGATGAAGTAAGACCTCTGTAACATAAATGGTAACTTAAATGATAACTTCTATAACTTTCAAATTCTTAGAAAATGACATGCAACTTGCAAGCTTTTGATATATAACAAATATTTTACTTTAACAAAATATCCAATACTAATGATACAAATTATCTCTTTACCTAGTTATTACTGTATACCAGGTCTTCTTTTGCATACACAATACTTTATACAGAGAAGCACAGATCGTATCATATTTGGTTTTCTAAACCAACTCATTATGAACAGCAATTAATGATAGGCCTCCAAATATTGACATAATTTCACTTGGGTACTATACACAGAGTGTTTCTCTATAGATTCTTCTAGTAGTATCACATAATAACAGCAAAGGAATGTGAAATACAACTCACAACTCAATAAGACACTCAAGAGTTGTCAACTATACATGAAATCAAGTTTCCTCTATACGGTTTCAATCTAATGATACATGTCAAATATATTATAATTCCACTTAGAACTTACCATAGATGCTGCAGAAATACTATTAAGTATGAAGTTCTACTCAGAGTTAGCTTCTCTGTCAAATCCAACCTCCTAAGTCCTGAGTGGATGCATGGTCTATGCTCATCCCTCTCAATCTGTGATCTGGCAAAATATCCTTTCTCTCCTTACCCTATACCCTCTCTGACTCAAGGTCAAAGTGCACTTCCCCTATGATGTGGCAAAAAATCTATTCTTCTCTCCAAATCACCCCATACCCTCTCTGAATTAAGGTCAAAGTTAACTTCCCCTTTCAGGGACCACCATTCTTCTCTCCAAATCACCCCATATCACCCCTCTCAGACTTAAGGTCAAAGTGAACTTTCCCTTTTAGGGACCACCTCACAAGTACACTTAAAGGGATCTCCTTATTCAGAGACATGGATCCCTTCATTCAGGGACCTCCTCAACAAATAGAATTAGGAAACATTTCGACCTGTCACAATACAAATCTACTGGGTGCATGCCAATAAGTTCTTTACAACACTAAACAAAAACTAGACACGCAATCGTGTCACAACGATGTGCGTGCAATTATTAGGGGCTTTTAGATTTGCACGAAGACAATAGGGACTTTTAGATTGAGTAGACGAGAATACGACGTACGCCGACTGATCATGCGTGTCTACGTACTCAACTGCCCATGTTGACTACAATTAGAAATCTTTTAGATTGCACTCGACGATATACATGCATGCAGGAAGTAACACTAGGAATTACATGACAGACAAAGAAGGAGGACAAAATATACAGTTCCTCATTCTACCCTCAACAATAGGCCATTTTCTTAATGTAACCAAATTTAATGCATAGGTCTTTGTGAAGTGCCTCAATACAAATTATTTCATTCACCTGATAGGAATAGTAGTATTTCAAAAGTCAGAATGCAACTGCATATATTAAGTGTTGCTAGGTAGGTCAGGCCATAATTTTTATCCAACGTGGCAACAACTAATGTATGCAGTTAGGATCCTTTCTATTGAAATACTATTATTCTTATCAGGTGAATGAAATAGTTTGTATTGAGGCACTTCACAAAGACCTATGCATTAAATTTGGTTACATTACAAAAATGGCCTATGCTGTGGTAGAACATCCCTTCACTGCTATTATGTAAAAATGTGTAGAACAGGTGAATATGCATGTGACACTTGTTCTACACATTTTTACATAATAGCAGGGAAGGGATGTTCCTTTGTCTACCTGAGGAACTGTATATTTTATGCCCACGCGGCATATATTAGTACCGTACTAGATTTAGGAAAATCAAGGTTGACGCATTCTCGATCGCCGACTGAGACGACGTGACGCATGCGCAGTGCCTTAAAAGGACGTCACACGTTGCAGTCAAAGCTGTAAACGTGCAAATCTAAAAGTCCCTATTGTGGATTGCTAAGGTGGACGTCACACGCAGGCGCGTACGCAGGGAAGGGGGGGGGGGGGGCAAGATTTCCAACAGGAAGGACAAACTACGATTGGATTGTATGTGTGTTTCATTTTCTTTTTTTCGTCACCACAGGAGCGGAGGATGGTCTCTATAAAATTATAAAAGATAAGAAAGACAGCTATTCAGGGGCATGTGCCCCCCCTCCCAAATCTACGCCATAGCTGTGGGGCAGGCGCGGATCCAGGGGGGCGAGCGGGCCTTGCCCCCCCCCCCCCCCCCCCCCGCGAAAAAAAAGAGAGAGAGAGAAGGAAAAAAGGGAAGGGGAAAGAGGAGAGAAAGGGAAAGAAAAAAAGAGGAAGAAGAAAAGAAAAGGGGAAAAAAGAACGAGACCGGGGGCCGAAAGGGATGTTACCTCCCCCCACCCCCCCCCCCCCCCCCCCACCCCATCAAAAATAAGAGAGAAGGAAGGAAAGGGAAAGAAAAAAGGAAAAGAGGAGATAAAGGGATAGACAAAAGAGGAAGAAGAAAAGAAAGAACGGGGATATCAGTTGCAATTTTCCCGCCAACAAGTTGTAGTTCGGGGGGGGGGGCAAAAGGCCCTTGCCTCCCCCTCCCCCCACCCTCGCTAAAAGCTAAAACGGAACAAAAAAGAGGAAGAAAAAAAGAAAAGTGTAAAAAAGAAGGGAAGAACATTTAATCCCGCCAACAACGTGTGGGTCGGTCGAAAGGAAAAGAGGAGAGAAAGGGAAAGGGAAAAAAGGGTAAAGAAGAAAGGTAGGGGAGATCAGTGGCGATTTGTCACGCCAACAAAGTGTAGATCGGGGGGGCACTGGCGTACTGATGGGGGGAGGGCGGAGGGGCGGAGGGGGTTGGGGGAAGGGGCTTGGGGTGACAGATGTCTCCACAAATATAATTGATTGAAACGTGGTTTATTTCTAATTCGATACCGATGATTTCTAAATGTTGCTGAAATGACATAAGTTTCCGAGATTTTTCCTCAATCTTTAGTAAATCATACTTTTTTTATGCGTTTGTTGGAAAATGGCAAATTCCCAAAGAAAGAAAGAAAAAAGAGTGACCTGCCTTTGTCACAAAATAATGAGTTGTCAAAATTTGCTCGTCTGACCGTGATTAAATGCCTAAAACCGATGAGCTTCCGGGGCTCCATCCCTCGACGCCACCAGGGGCCATAAGCAGGGGCGTCTCCAAAGGGGGGGGGGTGGGGTGCGACACCCCACCTGTCAGGATATTGTCGGTAAAATTGCGCTGCCGTCGGGAAAAAAGAGAAAAGGGGGGAGAGAGGGAAAGGGAAAGGGAAAGAAGAGAAGAAAAAAAAGGAAAAGAAAAGAAAGAAAGAAAAAGAAAGGAAAGAAAGGAAAAGAAAGGAGAGAAAAGAGAAGAAAGAAAGAGAAAAAAGAAAAAGAGGGAGGAGAGGAAAAAAAGGTAAAGAAAGAAAAGAAAGAAAAGGGAAAAAGAGAAAAGGGAAACAACAGAAACGGGGGATGAAAGAGAGGAGAGAGAGGGGAGGCGGGAGTCTGAGAAAGGAGGAGTGGGAGGGGGGGGGTTTAGGTGGAGTCGTCTCGTCGAGGGAGCAAGAAAGACACGGGTAAATATGTTGCTGTGTAGGGTCAACTGTGTCGGTATTCTTGCTCGATCCTCGTGTACTATATCAATGCAGAAGTTTGGAGTCGGTGAGATGTATATTGTCGGTCGGCCGACAAGTTTTCTTCCCTACGAATTGTGACTTGTGACTTTTTATCCGCTGTGACGACTTCTAGAGTGACTACAACTACAATACTTGTATTTTCTCGAAGTTTCACTTTCCTATAATATCAGCTAAAGGAATCAGAGGTTTAAATTTTCGGGGACACTAAATTCAAACAAGGATTAAGAGTCAACAACAGTACGACGAATCGTCTTCCTTTCTCTACATTTTGATGAAACGCCAAAAATTCCGCGCTTCGCTCGGGAGGGGAAAACCTTCATTTAGACGAGTCGAGAACGGTACAACGAATCGTCTTTTTTCTCTAATAATTTAAGGAAACGTCTAAGCCTCCTCGATTCGCGTAGGAGGAGGAAAAACTGAGTTCAGATAAGGATTAAGAGTCTAGAACAGTACACCGAATCATCTGCTTTTTCTCACAATTTAATGAAACGTCAAAGCTTCCACGCTTTGCGCGGGAAAGGGAGAAACTGAATTCAGATAAGGATTAAGAGTCGAGAACAGTACAAGGGATCGTTTGCTTTTCCTCAACCTTTTGCAGCCCACCTCAAATTATGTAGAACTTTGCAGGAATTATGAATATGTCATGTATGTCCTATCTGTGAAATTTAGACTTTAGCAGTGTCCAAATATTCGAATTATGCAAGGAAACCCGTTTACTTGCTAGACTTCACTGTCAGACACTATCAGTGACTGACTAGCTTTTTCCTTCTTTGGTAATAACATACATAAAATGAGCTGTAAAGGGTACATGAGCATTTGTCTACATCAATAACACACTTCTTGTGATGGCCAAAATTAAACTGATTGAATTTTTGCGCAGCATAAAACGTATGACCCTTTGATACAATAGGCTGAAAATCAAGACTATTACTTATAGGCTCTATAGCTCCTAAGTCGATTTGACAACTAATAGTGGTTATTTTCCCAATTGAAGACATTTTCAAGCCCCACCGTTTTTAGGGAAGTTCTAAATTAGTATTATCTTTCAAATGCCGTTGGAATTTAACCTTTTCATTTTTTTGGCCTGCAAATAGGACATAGTACCTTTAAGGAAACGTCAAAGCTTCCGCGCTTTGCGCGGGAGGAGGAAAACTGAATTCAGACAAATAAGGGTTAAAAGTCGCGAACGGTACAACGAATCGTCTTCTTTCTATAATAATTAAATCAAACGTCTGAGCTTCTCGCGCTTGGCGCGGGAAGGGGGAAACTGAATTCAGACAATGATTAAGAATCGAAAACGGTACAACGAATCATTTTCCTTTCTTTATATTTTGATGAAACGCCAAAGAACGCCGGGAGGGGAAGCCTTCATCTAGACGAGTCGAGAACGATTCAACGAATCGCCTCTTTCTCTAATAATTTAATGAAACATCAAAACTGAATTCAGCTAAGGATTAAGAGTCTATAACAGTACACCGAATCATCTGCTTCTTTTTCTCATAGTTTAATGAAACGTCGCAGCTTCCGCGCTTAACGCGGGCGGGGGAGAAGCTGCATTCAGACAAGGATTAAGAGTCGAGCACGGTTCAACGAATCGTCTACTTTCTCTAATAAAATGTAATGAAAAGCCAAAACTTTCGCGCGAAGCGCGGGGGGAGGAAAACTGAATTCAGACAAATTAGGGTTAAGAGTCGCGAATGGTACAAACGTCTAAGCTTCTCGCGCTTCGCGCGGGAGGGGAAGCCTTCATTTAGACGAGTCAAAAACGATACAACGAATCGCTTCTTAACTTTCTCTAATAATTTAATGAAACGTCAAAACTGAATTCAGCTAAGTATTAAGAGACTATAACAGTACACCGAATCATCTGCTTTTCTCATAATTTAATGAAACGTCAAAACTTCCGCGCTTTGCGCAGGAGGATAACTGAATTCAGACAAATTAGGGTTAAGAGTCGTGAATGGTACAACGAATCGTCTTCTTTCTATGATAATTAAATCAAACGTCTAAGCTTCTCGCGCTTCGCGCGAAAAGGGGGAAACTGAATTCAGACAATGATTAAGAATCGAATACGGTACAACGAATCGTTTCCTCTATAATTTGATGAAACGCCAAAAATTCCGCGCTTCGCGCGGGAGGGGAAGCCTTCATTAAGGGTATGTTTATGCTCAACTTTTTCTGGCCAGAATCAGGCATCTGTTACGCGTTTAGTTCAAAACACGGTTGCGTCCTTTTTCACTTTTGTAGAATCACCGAAAAACGGCGATCACGATCGCCGATCGTAAACTCACAAAAAGGTGCGTTTACAATTTGTAAACGCGTTTAAATGGGGTCAACGCACTGACCTCTAGTGGGTCTACGTAGCATGCACAGTGAAAGTTTGCGAATCCAGCTGCAAGGCCAATTCAGGCCACCCAGCGAGAATTGCCTGGATGAGCCAGAGAAGTGAGCATAAACAGTACACGGTGGAACTGCGATTACGATGAGCGTTTATGATGTGCGTTTCAAATCGCTCATTCTGCCTTCAAAATTGGGCTTAAACGCACCCTTAGACTAGTCGAGAACGATACAACGAATCGCTTCTTTTCCTAATAATTTAAGGAAACGTCTAAGCTTCCGCGCTTCGCACGGGACGCCTATCACCCCCCCCCCCCCACACACACACACACACACACACACACACACACACACACACACACACACTTCCCTAATGAGCGTGCTCCGCGCGCTCATTAAGTGATTGCAAGCGAATTTCGCTTGCTCACTACTGCCCCTCCCTAAAATAAGATCCAACAACGGCTCCTCGCCTGCATTAAAATAAATAGCTATGATGCTGACTAAGTTGACGAAATAATTCATATATTTATGCCGTCAAAAAAAAAAAATCATTTGCGCATACGCAAGTACTAAAAAGTGCGTCCCAGAAAAAACGAAACCGAGAATTATAGACGTTTGATCATAACTTAATCACAATTATAATTGACAAAAATTATGACACATATTTGGAAAGCTGAGATCCTCCTCTGTCATCTGGTGTAACTCATATAATGCATATTTCACGCACGAGTGATTAAGATGACTTTGAAGAGAGGAAACCAAAAGTCATTTGGCGGATGGTATCTGAATTTCAAAGCATGCCTGCATGCTTGTCTGAGCGTTATAAAATGCCTTAAACCCTTGAGCTTCTGAGGGCTCCGCCCCCTGGACTCCATGCCTATTAGTGAACTGCCAGTGTCACAAATAAGGGATCTTTAGGCTCTTCTGACCTAAATAAATGCCTTAACCATTGAGCTTCCGGGGCTCTGCCCCCTGAACCAAACGTATGGCCCTAAGGCGGCCCCTGGATGCTCATCTGACCATCATCTATTGCCTAAAACCCCTGATCCTATGGGGGCTCCGCCCCTGGACCCCACGCCAAGGTGTGACTTGCCAGTGTCACAAGTTAGGTATCTAAATATGCTTATCTGACGGTAATTTAGTGTATAAAACCCATGAGCTTCTGGGGGCTCCGCCCCTGGACCCCGCACCAAGGTGTGACTTGCCAGTGTCACAAATAAGGTATCACAATATGCTCATCTGACGGTAATTTAATGTATAAAACCCCTGAGCTTCCGGGGCTCCGCCCCCTCGACCCCACCAGGAGCCCTAAGGCGGGCCCCTGCATACTTGACTGACCGTTATAAAATGCCTAAAACCCCTGAGCTTCTGGGCGCTCCGCCCCCTGGATCCAACGCCAATAAATGCCCTGCCAGTGTCACAAATAAGTGATCATTATGCTCATCTGACCGTAATTAAATGCCTAAACCCCTGAGCTTCTGGGGTCTCCGCCCCCTGGACCCAACCAATGGTCCTAAGGCTGGCCCCTGGATGCTCATCTGACCGTAATCTATTGCCTAAAACCCCTGAGCCTCCGCCCCCTGGACCCCATGCCAATTCGTGACCTGCCAGTGTCACAAATAAGGTATCACTATATGCTCATCTGACGGTAATTTAATGTATAAAACCCCTGAGCTTCTGGGGTCTCCGCCCCCTGGCCCCCACGCCAAATCGTGACCTGCCAGTGTCACAAATAAGGTATAAAAATATGCTCATCTGACCATAATTTATTGCCCAAAACCCCTGAGCTTCCGGGGGCTTCGCCCCCTGGACCCAACATTTCGTGACATGCCAGTGTCACAAATATTAAGGTTCACAATATGCTCATCTGATGGTTATTTAATGTATAAACCAGGAGCTTCTGGGGGCTCTGCCCCCTGGACCCCACACCAATTTGTTCGCCAGTGTCACTAAATTAAGGTATGAAAATATGCTCATCTGAACGCTCACGCTCACCAGGGGGGTGTTTCATCAACTAAAATCGATTTCGATTTCAAAAATCAATTTTAAGGCCGAATCAGTTTTAGCTTAAAACCGATACATGTGAGCTGTTTCATCAAATCGATTTTAAGCTAAAATAGATTTTTAGGTGTCTGCAATCAAGGCTAGTCAATTTGGGGTAAATCGATCACAAAATGGCCTTGCTTAACTACGGTGAGAGTCCTTGAAAAGTAAGTAAAATCTGTTTTTCTTTGAAAATATCAATTCTGTTGATAATAAATCTGTTATTTTGGAAGAAGAAAAGTGTTCCTCTCATTATTATGCAATTTCATTTTTGTGTAACTGAACGAAATATTAAATAAAATCAATTTATATCACTCTCCAAGTGGACGAATTGCACCGGTTCAACCATTTCAGTCCCATTCATATAAATTCATGCAGGTTCAATAGTAATTACCTAACGACGTGTATTATTCGGTTAGGACAGACAGGTACAAACTCATTAGTCTAGTTTATTCTTGCAGTAGTATTGTGGTTTTACTAGTTATGCTACTAGTTGTAGATTTGGGCTTAGAATCAAGATCTGAGCCTAGATCTAGGCCTAGGCCCTAGATATAGACTAGACCTAGACCTCTAGACTAGGTCTAGAGTCTACTACTAGACTAGATATAGATCTAGTCTAGCCTAGACCCTATCCCTTATTTATTTATGCATTGTCTTGTTTTTGTTGATATAGCATCTAGAGTCTAGAGACTAGTCTAGTCTAGGTCTAGATTTTCTAGACTCTAGATCTAGACAGTAGACTAGTCTAGCCTATAGATCTAGAGCTAGGTCTAGATCTAGGCCTAGGGTCTAATTATAAATGATAGATCTACTCTAGATGTAGATGTAGTCTAGAGTCTAGGTCTAGATCTACATGATACTTGATAGATCTAGATCTAGGGTAGATGTAGATTTCTAGACCTGTAAGTGAGGTGGGGGGGGGGGGGGGGTTAAAGAGCGCATTTCTTTTTGTTTTAGGTCCCGAATATTTGAAAATCATTTTTGGAAAATTTTGCTGATTTTAACATTTTTTGGGGGGGATGTGCCCCCTGTGCCCCCCCCCCCCCCCTTGATCCGTCCCTGGTATTAGGGGCCCCTAACACAATCCAACTCCAAGCTCTAGACTATAGAGGGTCTAGATCTATACTAGAGTTTTTTTATTTATTTTTTTAATTTCAGAGTCGGACTAAAAGATGGAGTGGACCACAAGTCGTATCCACCAAATAGACCTTGGCTTTAGTCCAAGACTCAAAAGTTCTCTTCTGCCGTGTCTCTACAGTCTTGGACTTCTCATTCTTCCTTGGCCTCAGGCTCAAGGAAAGGGTTTGGATATACAGAATGTACTCAAGCTCAATGTCTAGGTGTACAGCTATAGATCCTAATGTGCTAAGCGGCCTTGTGGAGTGATCTTCTTACTAGTACAATTTGCACACCAATAATAAAACAAAGGTAAGTTTTTTTTTTATGTGGTTCTTCTAGACCTATGTATAAATAGATTACTTATTTGTTGTTGAGTGTGTAAATCTTGATTTTCATTAAATTTTCTACGTACAATCGCAAACTGATAAATCCATGTGAGGTGGAAGTCAACTATGACATGTCTAAATCATAGATAAATTACTTCATCAGCCTGACTAATATTGTACAAATAATAGGGCAGCAATTAATGAATAAAGAGGTGATTGAACAAACTGTAAAGAGAATATATGTATGATGAAAGCTGCTCCGTTTGTTTTATACCTCTTTGCCTTCTACTCACGACAGGGGAATGTTCATTGAATCTGTGTACAACAGTGTTTGGTTCAAGAGCAGGGTATCCGAGATCAAGATTAGACTCCATAGTCAATCTTCCAAATGTCTAAAACTTACAATTTGGTTGGTAACAATGTCTTGGACCAAATACATGTAAATTACTGTTGTAATTACTGATAAAAATGTACTTATGTTCTTTTGAACACATTTGATACAGTGACAATTACTTTTCTGAAAAATAGATGTGCTCTCTTCATAACAAATATATGTATCTCTGTTTTAAATCCTAGGTTGCAAAATAAAGAGCTATGGCATCTGCATGTACTGCTAGTTCATGACAAATGAACATTTATTGTCTATCTCTTCAAATTGAAAGGGTAAGCAGTATCAGTTACCAAAATTGATCTATCATTTTTCATAATCCTTGTAAGAAGTCTAATACCCATCTTACCCATTCTGTTGATAAAACATACACAAATGGTAATGAAAGGATTTTTTTTTTTTTTTTTTATCCAAAGCAAACAATCATTTATCTTCTGTAACTATTTTTTATTCTCCTACTTTATTTATTTAGCAATTAAAGTATTTGAAATAATCATAAATACAAAAGTTGAAGATTGATTGAAAAGTAGTACTAGTATTTAGTAATTGATTCATTTATTACATAACTTTCAATTCCTATTCTAGACTGCAGAGCCTGAATTACCTGCAACGTTATGCTTCTTATGAAACATCAGCCAGCCTACAGATAGAAGCTCCCTTTTCCAGCTTTAAGCAAGAGGAACCACAATGAGATACAGATCTTGGTATCATGGACTGGTCACTTTTTACAACCAACACTACTTGTAAAATAAGATTTACAAATTAATTCCTATAAGCTATTAAAAATGCTCTAGTCAAGGTACTAAAATTTTGCCATCGAGTTTGAGGTTTTGGGTTTGATAAAATGTTAACATAAAATATTTTAAAGGAAGTAAACGTTTTAATGATACTTCCAAGATTTCCTATATTTTAAACAGAATTTTAGAATCTTGCAGAAGAAAAGAGAAGAAATAAAAAGCTATTATTCTGTCATGGAGGTTATTGTTACCAAACTCACATTACATAGATAATTTTGTTCATGGCAATAAATCTTAAAATATCAATTGGAATTTCTTAATTAGCAATTCATCTGAGCAGCAGTTTGATGACCTATTTGAAACTCTTCCTAGAGGCACTTCTTGCATGACTATGTATCGATAATTACCTGTTGGTGCTTAAAGTGCTATTGTAGCGATTGCACAACAACAAATACAAAATAAACAACAGAACATTGTGATTGAGTGAAAACAGATTTTTCCTGCAGGAAATATATTAACTCTGACTTATGTTGTCCTTAGAATTTTTTGTCAAAGCTGATAGAAAAGAATTGATGATTAATTTCATGTAGACAAACTATTGCATCAAGGAACCACATTCTCACCGACTGCGTGACCTTACATGACAATGTATATCATCCTTAGATTAACAACCGTATGAGTAACAGAAATATTTGTGACAAGTATTACTCTTTTAATCTCCATAAAGGTAACTCAAATAGAGAGTGGCAGATATCAGCTGCAGTAGTTTTAACAACTGGCTGATACTTTCATAGGAGCACTTTTATTTGTGTCCGATTTAAAATATTGTAATTGTATCCCTTGAATGTGTTTGCTATGCTCATCATTTACAAAATGTAGATTTCATTCATTTAAAGCATAAACATATTGATTATACTTTAAAATCTGTGTTAATTTTATTTTGTATGTATTTTTTTGTCTTTTAAGAAGATAAAAAGGGGGGGGGGGGGAGATGAATAGATGAGATTGTACGCTAGCGCATGGTGATAATAATTACATGATGATAAAGGGCAATGATGTGATTCAAGAATGGTGTGTTTGTATGCTGGTGAGTTATTGTTATAAGTAGGTGTTTATTTATTCATTTTTGTTCTTTATTTATTTTTTTGTGGGGGAAGGGGGGGGGGGTGTTCATGAAGAAACAAAATTACGGCAAGCAAAGCGTTGTGATGGGAGTGTCGTTTTATGTTAATGAGAGAGAGAGAGAGAATATGAAAGAAATAAGGACACATAATTGTAAGCGCATAAGGTAAAAAAAAATATAGAAAAAGGGGCACATAACAAAATGGAAAAGGGTCACTTCTAAGAAGAAAACATAAAAAGTTATTAGAAATAACAAGAGGAATCTTATAACAAAGTGAAACGGGACAAACTACATGAAGGAAAAGTGCACTTGTAATAAACAAAAAGGGATGTTAATCAGATGTAAAAGGGGCACTTAAACCCTATCTAGCATGGGTTATTTTGAAACTGCATAGCCTGGGGGGTCCGGGCCCCCTCCCCTGGAGAAAAAAACGTGTAAGAACACGTTAACTGTACCTTTTTTTTTTGGAGATGAGCCCTCTCCCCTGGCGCTCAAGGGGGGGGGGGGGTGATTTTTCAAATTTTCGAGGGCCCCCCCCCCCCCAAATAATTTGTTTTGATTGTTCACTACCCCCCCCCCCCCCCACTGAGCGAATTATCGGCCGGCTGTTTCGCTGCTAAATATTGTCTCACGAATTGGGCCCCCTCCCCGTGCCGCCGGCTGGATAAGGCCCCCCCCCCCCCCCCCCCAGGCTAGATAGGGTTAAGGGGAAAACGGACCGCCCATGTATTTTTGAAGAAGAAAATGGGCCATTGTGCTCCCCCCCCCCCCCCTCCAGAGTGCCACATTTGGTATTATTAGTGCCTTACTATGATGATTTTTTTTTAAAATGGTTATGAACAAAGATTTGTTCCCCCAAGAACATAATTCTTCATTTTCAGATGTATGTTCAAATTGAAGCTAGCCGACACTTGCGCCTTTGAAACCAATGAATGCTGAACATAGCATATCTATAATGCAATGAATAAGGATAAAATTGATTTAAAATTGATGTGGATCACACTCTAACTTAAAATCGATTTTAAGGCCAAAATCGATTTTATTTATTTAGTGAAACTGCTGCTAAAATCGAAATCAATTTTAAGCCCTTAAAATCGATCAAATCAATTTTATATCGATTTTAGGGCTTTAGTGAAACACCCCCCAGATCATAAGTACTATCCTCTCTACTTAGAGTATTGTTCAGCGAGGCCTGCATGTAAGAGTGGGGTGATGCGCATTTTTTTTTGGTCAACCCCCCCCCCCCCCAAAAAAAAAAAAAAAAAAGTTTTTGCTCATTTCGCCACTGCCGGTGTCACCATTACGTACCAATATTTGGCTCGCATAATTTCAATTTTGCCCCCCCCCCTAAGAAATCCTGGATCCGCGCCTGCTGTGGGGTGTCCTCCATCCAATATTTCCCTTTGTTTTTAGCATTTTGTCTATTGCTTAGGCCTATATAATTTTTATGAAAAGCACCCTCGTTTCGTATTATGAATAGCGACCCCTAAATCCTATTATGAATAGCGACCCTCATTTATTATTATGAATTGCAACCCTCTACTTCTTATATGAATAGCGACCCTCATTTCGTATTATGAATAACAACCCTCTACTCATATTATAAATAGCTAGCAACCCTCTTTTTCTATTATGAATAGCGACCCTCATTTTGTATCATGAATAGCGACCCTTTCCTCGTATTTTTTTTTCCTATTTATCCTCTTTCGAGGGACTTTATTTGTTTATATCATAAAATAACAGCTATTTACAACAGTGTTTAAATACAGAATTCATGCAGTTGTAACATATCATACAGATAGTACAGAACATGAAACTAATGTGACATAATCACTAACTAAAATAATGAAAACTGTTGCATACGATGTGGGGTATTATGACGTCAGAAGCGAAGTTTTGGTTATTTTGGGTTTAGCCATAGAGGGCAGTTGCGAATTTGTTAGGGAAACTAAAACACGTTGTTGCAGTTAGTTATCGGCACTGAAAGTGCACCATTTTTTGGTATTTTGACACAAGCCCAATGTTGTGAGTATTTATTTACCTCTGTTTATTGAAATATGATGACTATTGTTGTGTTTGATGCTATTGGTGATAAAAATGAAGAAATGCAAATAGTGTAAAATTAAGTAAGAAAATTGTTACTCACGTACGTAAATTTACGTTGTGTGTGGGCATGCAGTTGTGTATAAAGTCATTGGGTTAGAATTAATTTCGGTAAACGTAAAGAAGACAGATATGAATATGACAGAAAAGTTGTATTATTATTAGTTTCAGTGGATTATGTTAGAAATGTATGTACAGTATAAGCTGTCCAATATTCAGTTGGTTTTTTTTGGATTAGTATGAAAGACAAAATGTTTTATAAAGAGTAGTTGACAGAAAGTAGGTCAGGTATGCCAGGGGTCATTATAGATTGGTAGTCTTTCGTGGAGCCTGTTATTAAGATTTAGGTTACCACTAAATGATATGTTGGGCCTATTATGCTTTGGTAATTAATAGTGAGTCAATAGGTTGTATCAAAGGAGCTATGAACTCATCTTAGCAGAAATATGTAAAGATATTTCCTAACTCATATTATGCCATTTATTTACAGTTATTTACAAACCTGTTTATTATTTGACTGGATAAGATAAACAAATGTTGGATAGATTATTTGATTGTCATATCAGCTATGCTAAGTAGCATATTGGATGCATTATTCTAGTAATGCTTATGATTGTGTTTTTTATCTTTTATTAAAGGTTGAACCTTGCACCTGCCAGTTTGGAGTCTTGGTATCACAAAAGGGTGTCGCTGTGTTATTCATTCGTCAATGGTGTCTTTTGGTTAAGTGAATTAATCGTCAATCGTCAATCGTCAATCACATCAGTTCAACAACAGCTTGGTAGTGAGAGCTACAAGTCAAGAACGTCAAGATGAATACCATCAGTGAAGATGGTAATAATGAGACTGTGAAGTCCAGTGACGAGCTGGTTGGCCTTGGTGGTGCTGTTAACGTTGATGACATCACACCGCATGATTCAGTGAGCCAATGTGGGGGAAGCACTACTATCTCCACGTCATCCAAGTCCTCAAGGCTAAAGGCTATGGCGAGAAGGGCTGCTCTTGAGGCAGAAGCTGAAGCCTTAAGAGAGCAACAGGAGCTCGAGATGGAAGAATTCCGCTTGAAGCAACGCAAAGCCCAGCTGTTGCTGAAAACCCAGTTAAAGGTTGCTCAAGCTGAAGAGAGGGTGTATCAGCAAGATAATGCTCCATATGCACAGTCTGTTGCAGGAACAGGTGGACCTACTCCCGCAAGGTCATCCGTTGTGCCTTCAATCACGAATAACTACAAACCTGTTATGATGAAGCCAGATGAGGACGAAACTGTACCTTCTCCTCACACACAGACGGAAATGCTGCTGCTGCAATTACTGGAGCAAGGACAACGACAACAGCGGGGGCTGTTAGAGTCTGTATCCCTTCCTCATGCCACTCTGTCTACCTATCAAGGTGATCCGCTGAAGTACCATGAGTTTTGGAGGTCCTTTGAGAACAGTGTTGACCAAACTTCAGTAGACGACGCTGTCAAGCTGACACGCCTCCTGCACTATTGTGCTGGCGACGTTAAGAAGTTGCTTCAACCATGTATGATTATGAAGCCTACAGAGGGCTATCACAAGGCAAGGATTCTACTCAAAGAAAAGTATGCAAATCCAGTAATGATTGCTCATGCCTGGCTTAGAAAGGTTACTGAAGGAAAGAACATTGCTGCACAAGACAAACATGGACTAGCTGAAATGGCGGATGAAATCCAGATTTGTGTGCAGACGCTAGAAGCAGTAGGTCAGGCATCTGAGCTGACTTCTCAACATGTTCTGCTGAAGATAGTAGAGAGGCTACCATACCATCTGAGGACAGGATGGTTAAAAGTTGTAGGA